GTGCTCACTCTTTGGGCAAGAGGCAGAGTGGGAGTGTTGGAGGCATATGGTGCGGGGTGGACCTCTTCCATGCATGGGGGGCAATGCTTTGTCCTGCACCACGAGAGAACACAACATGTGGTTTGCTTAGGAGGACCCATGGCACACGAGTGGAATTTAACAAAGGTCCCCGTACCTCGTATGAGATACAATTGGCATATGCCCACAGTCGGTCTCTGTAGTTGTAGTGGGACGGGCGTGGAAGACATAGGCCGGCTAGGGATGTCGCGTATGGATTTATCAAGCAATCATCAGCTATGCACCGTAGGAAGAAAGCCATGTGGTGCTGAGCTCGCGAGATCGAATGCGCGTCATAATGCGTGGCCAATATAAGCATGGTACACGAAGGGGGCGAGCTGAGCTGTCGGCGCACCTCGTGCTTGCATATGCGCGATGCTGATGAGGGCTGCATCCATCTTTGTCTGGATGCCTAATAAAAGGAAAAACGGGCACTGTACGCGGCCGTTGTCGTCAGCAATGCAACTGTGAACTTGCATGAGGGCGTACGCAACGGTGGGCATCTAGCGCAAGAATTCGCACCTAGTAATAAATCGGTGCGGATGGTATTCACGCTAATAAGCGACCGGGAGGGTAGCCATGCCGGCCATCGCACAGCGCAAATGGCATATTCTAAAGGTCGGCTTGTGGAGCTACCTCTCGTAATCGAACTGATGGAAAAATGAGATACGTACTCTGACTTGTTAATGTCATTGTTACGGGTGGACTGCCACGAATGTACAGTATCTTCATGGCATATGACGGAGACATATAAGGTTATGCAATCTGGTCAACGAATGACCAATGTCTGGGATGCGATAACGTATGATTCGCGTCGTTAGGAGGAGTGTGCCATGGTGGGGCACGATAACTGCAGAGCGAGCGATTAAGAATAGACCTGCACTGACGCACAGCAGTTGGTAACTGAATGAGCACCCAACCAACATGTTCATATAAGTGCACATGTATCGCCAATCTACAGTATGCGCACAGATAAATCAAATACATAAAGCATATTTGTGAACTTTAGCACAATAAACTTGTCGTAAGCAGACAACAGACGGTGACAAGAAACAAATGTGCACACCACACGAAAGACACCCATTAGCAGCACTCACAGACTAATCCACACGGCTATGCCTCAAATGTCTATCACAACCTTGTCGGCTAGGAAGGCAGTCTCCATCATGCACTCTGCAACGTCCTTCAACCCCCTCCATATCATTGTAAATGTTTCAAACATAGGATGGTTATCCGTGACCTCGCCTTCCTTTGCAGTGTCAGCGTACGCTGCAACTCGGCGGCACTTGGTTGGGGTGCGCAGAAGCCGGTCGACCAGAAAAGGGTTCCCCTTGCCCATGTAGGTGACATGGTCTAACAGCACGGTAAGGAAAATCGCGAGCCGCATGCACACCTTTGCGGTGGTGTGGAGTACCTTCCTTGGATGCCTTCAGTTGAAGTTTGCAATTCCCTTGCGCGGCGACGCCGGGAAGGGGCTCGAGTGGAGTTCCATGCACAGTAGGCGGACAGCTGATCTTCGTCGTCTATACCCGCAAAGTCGACAGCTGGTGTTGCGCGCCATCCCAGGCGCAGCTTGACGATGTGGCGCAGGAGACGTGTGATCTCCCTGAGCATCAGCTGACCGTTGGTTGATGTATCAACGTGTTCGCATCCATGCGGAGTTGTGCATGAAGCGCGTGAACAGCTGCAAGAACCGTCACACGATGTTAACGAGGCGAGGTGCACAAGCGATGCTGAGGACATGCAAACACGACATGGGTAACATGCTTGAGAGTGCACCATAGTCGTGAAGTGACCGTCCTTTGATTGGCATAGGTAGGCATGATCCTAGGGGCTGAAGCCAGGAGTAAAGTTCACCGGCGTCTTGTCCTTCATGATCACTATCGACTTCCAAATGTCAATACCATCAGCGTTGGACGTGAGCACGACCAGAATGCAAGACCTCCATGCATTGGGAAGGTCCGTGTACGCATATGAAACTTATAGTCTCGTGTGCACTTATTGCTACTAACACGTCCAGCCATTTCCCCATGATAGTTCTTGAGTCACACCAGAGAAGTATATCTATTTGTCAGCTCGTTTTGGCTCGAAACTCCGCATTGGGGACTGTATGGGAGGCATGCAAATCTGCGATTACTACAAGTACAATATGCGTAAAAACTAGAAGTTCACTATAAGTTCATATGGTCATGTGCGTCACTCGAGTATTCATGTATGGAGTGTTCGCAGCGTCAATGCCGAGCATGTGACATCTCCCACGTGCATTGCTCGATTGTTCGATTTAATTTTTGGTGCCAAAATCAGGTTCGCAAAAACAGTTAAGCATGCCTTGCCGTAACTTGTGCCTTTGCCACCTGTCAACAAATAAACGCATCACACCTATCAAACCCTCATCCCCACATCCCCCCAGGCAAGAAGTGCTTGGTGCAGTATTTATGAAGGTAGTCTTGTGTGTAGCAAGCGCTCAGCTAGCGCAGAAACTTCTATTGCACCCCAAATAGTAGCAAGCCTCCTGCTAAGAATGACGAGCTCGAAAGTCAGGAAGAAGAATCCGCCCATGGCGACAGCTGCTTGTTCCTCGCCGTTGCTCAGAAAACCAGTCGTAAGTATGTCGGTGTCCAAAGAATGACGGCCTCAGAGTAAAAGCCTCCACGTCGTTTTGGGTGCACATTCTGACACCGTGGCTATAGATCTGATGTTCAAAGAGGTAAATATCATAGACCGGAGTGACACGAAGGCAGGCAACGATGCAGTCGAGGAAGTCGTCCCTGAGCCGACCGATGCGATCGCAACCATTATCAAGTTCCCCCCTTTCGTGCTACAACCATCATGGGTTTGGATGCCTGGTTGAGGGGCAGGACGCTGCAACGCTCGGCGGCAAGAAAATGCATGGCAGCCACCATACTAGACTTCCACAACATGTGCGTGCCAGCAATGTTGCGCACGCCTATGTTTGATTTATCTAGTTCATGTGCACGGTTGATTCCCTTGTACTTGAATCCTTCGCAGATTGTTGGGTCTACAACATCCGGAAATGCCAAGCCACAGATCGCGGATCACCCTGGACGCAAAGGCGTACTCGTACGCCGGGAGCTTCAAGCGGGCACCGAGACAAGGGCGTGATTTCCTGCTAATGGAGTGCGATTACATTTCATCTCGGTATACGACAGACATGTGCGAGCGACGCCATGGCACGCCTGTAGGTACATATACTGTAGTTTGCCAAGCCGTGCTTGCCGAGCTGTTTCCATGGCACGCAGGGAGCACTACTCTCTGATGGTGGTAGAGGCATCATGCTGCTTCCAACTTGGGGTGGACTTGTTGGTATGTGCACGCGACAGCGCGTTAATACTCTATGACAACGCGGGCCTTCACACCAAAACCAAGAAGCTGTTCGACGTGACTTAGAAGTCAGTATATTCTGTCGTTCAGCTTCTCCTTATGTCGCATCTCGGCATGTAACAAAACACGTCTGTTGGCTCTCCTGGCAGGTTGTTGGAGCTTGCATATGCGCGGTACAAAACCAACGCGGATGCGTTTGACGTGCAGCAAAGCCTGAAGAATTCTAGGTGCATAACGGTAAAGGTAAGGCCTCGCTTCCTTACAAGTGTCTTAATGCATTTTGCCTTCCTGTAATTCTATGCCCGGGCACTAAACACGTGTCGTTGTCACGTTGCAAGAGCACTATATCCCCTATCAGTAGAACAATTACGAGTATGGGGTGTGCGTATGCCAGTACATCAAGGCTCTTGTGACGTTAGACTTCACAACTGTCCACGAGTGGGTGCATTTCAAGGGGGTCAGCGTGACGCAGTAACATCAGAAGATGCGGCCAGATGTGTGCCTACACGCGGCGTGCGAACTGATACCATCCCTTTTGCATGGACAGTGATGCCATGATCCAGCTCTATGATAATGACGATGCTCGCGGCATCCATGCCAACCAAACAGCCGTGCTGGCAAGAATTGTCTAACATTGTGAAATGACTCACCAGGTGTAGCACGAGAAGCAGCTGGATCTTATGCATGACATGGTGACCGATGTTGGACGTGCCTTTGTGTACTCGAACAAACAGCTGCTGGCGGGGGCTCGCCAGGTCCTCTCCGGCGAAACGTGGATGAGCATCATAACGGATGTCACACCACACGCCCCTTCTCCCTATGATAGTTCTCCGCGTAGCTTCCTAGAGACGCGCTCGCCGTCGTCGCCAATTCACTTTCGTTGTGCCACACAATCTGCAGCACCTCAGGGCTGACATGTCACGTCCCACATGGCCACATCGGGATTTGTTGAGAATCTTCAGCGGGAGGTGCAGCAGTCATGGGTAGTGCAGCCGCAGAGAGTGCAGCAGCAGAGAGTGTAGCAGCAGGGAGTGCAGCAGTGGGGAGTGCAGCAGTGGGGAGTGCAGCAGCATGGAATTCTGCAGCCGGAAGTGCAGCAGCCAGGAGTGCAGCAGGGGGGAGTGCTGCAGCAGAGGTTACAGCAGCCCGGAGTGCCAGCAGGGAAAATCCTGCCGGCATCCTGCCGAAAATCCTAAGGCACAGCTCATCGCATTCTTGGTGACAACCGTCTCGATACACGACAAAGAGGACCTTGCTATCATCACCGCCTTCAAAGCGTGGAGATGTTATCTCGAAGGACGAAAAACAACCGTCTACACTGACCATTGCAGCCTAAAATATTTGAAGACACAACCAAGCCTCTCGAGGCGGCAGGTCCGGTGGATTGAATTCCTCGAGACACACTTCCACTATAACATTGTGTACAAGCCCGGCCACAAAAACAAAGCAGACGCCCTTTGCCGGACTGCACACGTTGCCGCCATCCAGATCGAATCCACTACTCAAGGGAATTTCGGGGTCGATGGTATACCCGTGTGTGAAGAGTCCCTATGAATCCACTACTCAAGGGACTCTTCACACACGGGTACACCATCGACCCCGAAATTCCCTTGGCAGAAAAGCGACATCTGCTACAGTGGGACAGTGACATCGCGTATCGGAAAGGGTCAACGAAGATCTGGGTACCCAATTACCCTCCTTTGCGCCAGTTACTACTCAAAGAATACCACAATGTCCTATTCGTAGGACACTTTGGTAGCAACAAGATGCTGACAGGTATTGCGAAGCACTACTACTGGCCCCACTTGGCAGAAGATGTCCAGAAATTCGTCACCTCGTGTGATACATGTGAGCGGATGAAGAGCAGCAAGCAGAAGAAGGCGGGACTACTACAGCCTCTTCCTATCCCAGAACAACCATGGCAAGTGGTTAGCCTGGACTTCATCACCGGGTTACCACCTACCACCAGCGGTCATGACGCAATCCTTGTCGTCATCGACAAGTTCTCCAAAATGGGACACTTCATCCTGACACACACGACAGCACGCACCGAAGAAACAGCACAACTATTCATTCGCTACATCATCTCACAACATGGCATTCCAACTACACTCATCTCTAACCGAGACCCCAAGTTCACCAGCAAGTTCTGGAAGGAACTCATGTCTCTGCTTGGGACCAAACTCGCCATGTCATCCGCCTACCATCCGCAGACAGATGGACAGACCAAGCGCCTTAACCAGATTATTGAGCAACTCCTCCGAGGACGAGATCTCCAAATGGGACTTGCACATGCCCGTTCTAGAGTTTGCTTACAACAACGCTACATATGCCGCTACTGGACAGACACTGTTCTTCCTCTGCTACGGACGCCACCCACTCACACCACAAAAACCGACAGCATCAGCTACAGTCCAACCTGCACACGACTTCATCAATACCATGCATCAGCTTTGGGATCGGACCCACATGCGCCTCCTCGACATTCAGCAGCAACAAAAGCGCCAGGCCGATCGCCATCGCAACGACCACACCATCACCGTGGGAGACCAGGTGCTCCTTGACATCCGCAACCTTGACATTAGCCATCTCCCATCCAAACTTCGACCTCGCTTCTGCAGGACTTTCCTCGTTGAAGCAGAGGTCACTTCTGTTACCTTCCGCTTACGCCTGCCAGATACCTGGAAGATTCACAACGGCCTTCTGAAGCCCTATTGGGATCCGAACACGATCTTCGTCAGACGCCAACTGCCGCCGCCGCCGCTCGTCCTCGTCCAGAATGAACCCGAGTACGAGGTCGAGTCCGTGCTTGCACACCGCCATCGTCGGAATGGCACCGTGGAGCTTCTCATTTGTTGGAAGGGTTATGATCCTTCTAAGGATAGCTGGGTACCTGAGACCGACATGGGTAACGCCCGTCGTCCTCTTCATAACTATCTTGTCAAGCAGGGTGTTACTTCTACCACCCAGCTTTGAAGGGGGGAAGTGTGAGAGTACGATCCCGTTACACCACTTTGTTAGAATATACCATGCTATGCTAGTTGTGTATATTGTGTTTACATCCCTAGTTGGGTGTACACCTGTGTTGGGGTGTCAATCCAACCCAATTGTGGTTGGAGCCCCCAAACACAAGGACCACAATTGTGGGGGCACCACAAGTGGGTTGGCTAAACCACTGGTGGTACACCACACTTGGACCACCTCCAACTGGTGGTCAACCACATTTGGAAGGATCCTCCCTCCCTTGTGATTGGTCCTAACCCCCCTTTCCCTTCCAACCTTCCCTTCCTAGCTCATCTCTCTCTTCCTATGTAATGCCTTTCTTTGCTTCATCAATAAACTCAACCTTTCTGTTTCTAACATGGTATAGAGCAATAATGGCTGACGCCAACTTTTAAATCCCGATCCTTCCCCACGCTTTCCGCCCCGTCCCCTTCCGACGTGCACCTCATTGCCGTCCCCTCCATCGCCGCTGCTAGGCTCCTAGCCGCCGCCTCTCAACTAGTTTTCTGTTGGGTGGATTTTCAAAAACCCCCAATGCGCCAAACGCCATAGCTCGCTCGATAGTTGACAGAATTGAGTGATTCGACTTGCAAAAGAACGCTCTTGGTGTCAGCTACAACGTCCTGTAGCAGCTACAGCAGAAGCAGTAGCAGCACCAGAAGGAGCAGCAGACTCAGCAGCACCAGCAGCAGCAGTAGCAGCAGCAGCAGCAGCAGCTGAAGGAGCAGCAGCAGCAGCAGCAGCAACAGCGGCAGCAGCAGCAGTGGCAGCAGCAGCAGCGGCAGCAGCAGCAACAGCAACAGCAGCAGCAGCAGCAGCAGAAGGAGCAGCAGCAGCAGCAGCAGTATCTACAGCCATCCCCATCCTCCCCTCCTCTTTGAGCCGCCGCGGGTCCACCCGCCGCCGCTCCCTCCCGGCCACCGCGGGTCCACCCGCCGTCGCCTTCCTCCCACTCCGTGTCACCAATGGCATCCTTTCCCCCTCCCGTCGACGTCTCGACCCTCGATCATCTCGTGCGCGCTGCCGACAACTCAGCAACCAACTGGTATTCCTTCGTCGGCAGCCTCCACCGCGTCCTCGGCAGTGCTTATGTCCTGCCGTTCCGCCTCCTGGACATCATGCTTGGTCTCCCAGAGGGTGACCTTGGGGACCCGCCGCCTCACCCTGGCAATCCCCCCCCTCTCATTCCCCATCCCGGCGAGGAACCTCCGCCCCCCATGGTACCCGTTGGCACCAGCACTCGCGCTGCCACCGCTGAAGTTGAGCAGCTCTTCCTTACTCAGCGTCGTGAGTTCCTCGTGCTCCATACTGATTACCTGATCACGTTGGAGGAACACGAGCGGTCGGCAACCCTCCGCACCCAGCATGCCGCTACCGCCGCCGCTTATGCCGCTGACTCTGCGCGATTTGCTGAGCGTCGTCGCGCCTGGCTCGAGGCGGACAGCCGTGCTACTGGTGCCCTTCTCCTTGCCATCCCGTCTGCGCTCATGCGCAACTTCCAGGCACGTCGCATCGGCTCCCGCCAGATCTGGCTCGAGCTTGAGGCAATGTTCGAACGCACTGACTTCGATGCTGTCGGACCGCTCTTCAAGGAATACTTCAGCATCACGATCGAACATAGTGCTGGCGCCGTTGACTACACCAGCCGTCTCCTGGACCTTGCCTCCCGCCTTGAGGCTCGCCAGACTACTCTCCCCCCAAACCTTCAGATCTACCGTCTCCTCGAAGGCCTCTCCCCTCAATATGAAGTGCGCGTCATCGCCTTCACTGAGGCTCAGCCCCGCGCCTCCCTTGACACTGTGGTCCAATGGATCATTGACGCTGAGGCCCGCCTTCTCTCAACCCCCCCCTCCGGCCTGAACTCCACCGAGTCCCAAAACCCCCAGCTTGCAGTCACACAGCCGCGTCGTGGCGGGCGCCCACGTGGCGGCCGCACCAACCCTCAGGGAGGGGGTGGAGGTGGCGGTTGTGGGGGCAGCGGAGCCGGCGGCGGTGGTGGCGGGGTCGAGGGTGGCAGCAGTGGTGGTGGTGGAGGCAGTGGTGGCTCATCTGGTAGCCGTGGTGGCCGCCCTGGCACTCTCCCCCCATGTTCCTATCTTCGCCGTTTTGGTCCCAGGGCGGGTGAGCGCTGCATCCAAACCAACCATCCCCCCGCGACCTGCTTCAAGGCGTATGATGACGCCTGGTTCGAGCGCGGCAACACTGGCACACCCCCACGCTGGTCTGCCATGGATCCCCGCCCCTCTCTCCAGGATGTCAAAACTCTTCCGTCTTTCCTCCCCTCTCATCTTCAGCTCTCCTCCTCCTGCTCTGTCGCTGACCCCATAACTCCCCAGGAGCTGCAGCAGTTTCCCCCTTCCAGCAGCTGCAGCTGCTGCAGCAGCAGCAGCAGTGGGGCTCTGGTGGTCAGGCTGCAGCCGCAGCTGCAGGAGCCGCAGCCGCAGCATCTGCATGGCAGCAGCAGCAGCTTGCCTTTGGCACCGCCGCCATGGCTGCCACAGCCACACCAGGTCCTCCTGGCTTTCCCCTCTGGGGCTCTCCTTCCCCTAGTGCTCCCGCCTCCCACTCCAGCTTTCTAGGCGAGCTCATGCGTTCTTCCCCTGCTTCCACTTCCATGTATCCCTCTGTTTTTAATGCCTGTGATTTCCAGTACCCCGTGTCTTCAGCTCCCTCCTCGCTCACGATTGACTTTGTTCTCGATAGTGGTGCCACTGAAACTGCCCTCAAAGACGCCCGCACCCTCACCTCCCTCCCTTTCCCCACCAACGTTCATGGTGCTGATTCCAGCTTCTCCATCCCTTGCACTCATCTCTCCACCCTCCCCTGCCCCCCCTTCCCCTCTGGAGTGGTCACTGGTCTCCACATTCCCTCCCTTCGTCATAACCTGCTCTCCATTCGTGAACTCCAACAGGCTGGCATCACTACCCTCTTCCCCGCCTCTGCCACCTACTGTGACCTCCTCCACGGCCCCACTCGCCGCCTCCTTCATCGCCTCCCACTTTGCCCTCGCTCTCGTCAGTACATCCTCCGCACACCCCGCCCCTCCTCATGCCACGTGACCACTCGTGCAGGCACCTCCACTCTCCCCCCTCCCCTCCCTCTAGAGCCACCTTCCTCCAACTCCACCTCCTCCCCATGCTCTTGTCGCGCACTGTCCCACCCCGCTGTTCTCATCCACCACCGCCTTGGTCATATGAACTTTCCCACACTTCGTAAAGCCGTCTCCTCCCGCTTGCTTGACGGTCTTCCCCCCACTCTTCCTCCCCTCCCGTCCTCTTCCGCTCCCCCATGCGCCACATGCATTCATGGAAAGCTCAAACAACAGCCTCACCTCAGTCATCCTTCCTTTGCTGCTGCCCCCCTTGACCTCGTCCACATGGACCTCTGGGGCCCTAACCCTTCCCCTTCCCGCCAAGGGCACCGGTACATGCTTGTCCTAGTCGACGACCACAGCAGGTACTCCTCGGTGTTCCTCCTCCACACGAAGGCCGAGGCCCCTGCTGTCATCGTTACCTGGGCCGAGCAGTGCCGAGTCCACTTTGGTCGCCCCATCCGCCGCCTCCATTCCGACGGCGGTGGTGAGTTTCTCAACCGCACCCTCTCCTCCTACTGCTCAACCCATGGCATCCAGCAGACTCATACCCTTCCCCACTCCCCTCAGCAGAACGGTGTTGCTGAGAGTCGCATTCGTGAGATCACCAAGACGGCCCGCTGCCTCCTCACTCATGCCTCCACGCCCCCTTCTCTTTGGGGCTATGCCCTTGTCCATGCTGCTCTCCTTACTAATCTTTACCCACATCCTCAACGCCAGTCTGTCACTCCCACTGAGCTCTGGGCTAGCACCAAGCCAGATGCTGCCATTCTCCGTATCTGGGGTTGCAAGGCATATGTCCTCATCCCCCCACCTGACCGCTCTCGGCAGGCAGGAAAGCTCGCCTCCAAGGCCATTGAGTGTGTCTACCTTGGCCACGCTCGCTCTGCCCCTGGTTACCTCTTCCTTCACCCGTCCTCAGGCCGCCTCCTACAGAGCCGTGACGTGGTGTTCGATGAGAGCATCCCGTTCTATCATTCTCTTCCGCCTTCCGACCCCCTTCCTCCTCTCTCCCGCCCCCTCACCTGGGCTGATGCTGTCATTCCCCCACTCCTTCCCCAGGCTCCCCTCCTTCCTCCAAATCCTGCTCCTCCCCCTCCTCCTTCCTCAGGTGACATTTACGACCCAGCTGTCCCTGACTCCCCTGCTCACTCTGCCTCATCGCACCACCAGCAGCAGCAGCAGCAGCAGCAGCAGCAGCAGCAGCAGCAGCAGCAGCAGCAGCAGCAGCAGCAGCAGCAGCAGCAGCAGCAGCAGCAGCAGCAGCAGCAGCAGCAGCAGCAGCAGCAGCAGCAGCAGCAGCAGAAGGAGCAGCAGCAGCAGCAGCAGCAACAGCAGCAGCAGCAGGTGCAGCAGCAGCAGCGGATGGAGCAGCAGCAGCAGCAGCAGCAGCAGCAGCAGCAGCAGCAGCAGCAGGAGGTGCAGCAGCGGATGGAGCAGCAGCAGCAGCAGCAGCAGCAACCGCAGGCAGTGCAGCAACAGCAGCCGGAGCAGGAGGTGCAGCAGCAGCACCAGCAGCAGCCACAGCAGCCACAGCAGCAGCAGCAGCAGCAGCAGCAGCCACTGCAGCAACCTCATCGGCATCGCCGCACCACCTCTCCGTTCATCCTCCCACGCATCCACACTCGCTCTCACGGCCCACTCATAGGCCATCCATGGGGTTGGCCAACACCACCCCCACCCTCCCTTCCCTTCATTGAGGACTCCCATGAGGAGCTCATTGGCGTTCAGCAACAAACACCTTCCCTTACGCCTCTCTACCCGGGCTTCCTTGGCCTCCTCATCCTTGGCATCGCTACCGCTCCCACCAGATTCACTCCGTCCAACTTCCTTGAGGCCATCACCTGCCCCGATGCTGCCAAGTGGATCCAGGCTATCTTTGCTGAATGCGAGGCCTTCATCCGCAATGCCTCATTCGTTATCATTGTCCCCTCTCCTGACGACGTCATTGTTGAAGGCCTGTGGGTGTTCCGAGTGAAGCAGCTGCCGGGTGAGGAGCCGGTCTACAAGGCCCGGTATTGTGCCAAGGGCTTCACCCAAACCCATGGCATCGACTACTGGGAGACATTCTCTCCCACTGCCAAGCTCCCAACTCTCCGTGCCATCCTCGACTATGCTGTTCGCATTGGCATGGAGATTGCCTCCATGGATGTCTCCAACGCCTTCCTGCAAGGCGAGCTCCGGGAGCGGGTCCTCTTGCGGCGGCCTCCAGGCTTTCATGCAGCCTTCCCTGCCAACACAGTCTGGGAGCTGCGCCGCCCGGTTGATGGCCTCAAGCAGGCTCCTCGCGAGTGGCACAACAAGCTGGCCGCCACTCTGCAGTCCTTGGGGTTCCATGCCTCTCAGTCTGATGCCAGCCTTTTCCTTCGCTCCTCTCCCACCCGCTTCTTCATCCTGGTGTATGTCGACGACATGATCCTGTTCGCTGACGATGCTGCCGCCATGCAGCAAGTGAAGGACGCCCTGCATGCGCGCCTCAAGTGCAAGGACCTGGGTGAGCTCAAGCACTATCTGGGCATGACCATCACCCGGGACCGCACATCGCGTACCATTACCCTCTCTCAGTCCTTCTACATCGACCAAGTCTTGCAGCGGTTCGACATGGCGCAGGCCAAGCCGGTTACCACTCCCCTGCAGACCGACCACCAGCTTGCCCCTCCTCCTGCTCCCTCCTCCTCTGACCATCCTTACGCTGAGCTCGTCGGCTCGCTGATGTACGCTATGATGTGCACCCGCCCCGACCTTGCCTACCCCATCAGTGTTCTTGCTCGATTCGTCGGTACCGGTCGCCACACTGATGAGCACTGGGCTGCAGCGAAGCGGGTCCTCCGCTACCTCCGTGGTACCAAGGACTATGTCCTCACCCTCGGAGGCTCTTCTCCTCCCCTCCTCTCTGGCTTCAGTGACTCCTCCTGGGCTGACTCCCAGCCGGATCGCCGTTCCTCTCAAGGCTACGGCTTCACCCTTGGCAGCGGCCTCATCAGCTGGCGCTCCACTCGCTCCTCCTCCATCGCCCTCTCATCATGCGAGGCTGAGCTCTATGCTTGCACCATGGCCGCTCAGGAGGCTCGCTGGCTCACCTTCCTCCTTGCTGAGATCGGTGCTCCTCAGCGCTGTCCCACCCTCTGGTGCGACAACGCCAGCACCATCCATCTCACAAAGGACCCTGTCTTCCATGGCCGCTCCAAGCACATTGAACTCCGCTACTTCTTCGTTCGAGAGTTGGTCCAGCAAGGTCACTTGGTGGTCCGCAAGATCGCTGCAGAGGCCAACTTGGCCGACATCTTCACCAAGGCCTTCCCGAAGACCGCGCACTCTGCCCTCCTCCGCCTTCTCGGCCTTGGGCCCCGCCCCCCTTCCTGATTCTGGGGTTGTGCCCTACATATACACTAGCTTTGCATGCTATGGGGTTGTGTTAGAATATACTATGCTATGCTAGTTGTGTATATTGTGTTTACATCCCTAGTTGGGTGTACACCTGTGTTGGGGTGTCAATCCAATCCAATTGTGGTTGGAGCCCCCAAACACAAGGACCACAATTGTGGGGGCACCACAAGTGGGTTGGCTAAACCACTGGTGGTACACCACACTTGGACCACCTCCAACTGGTGGTCAACCACATTTGGAAGGATCCTCCCTCCCTTGTGATTGGTCCTAACCCCCCTTTCCCTTCCAACCTTCCCTTCCTAGCTCATCTCTCTCTTCCTATGTAATGCCCTTGCTTCATCAATAAACTCAACCTTTCTGTTTCTAACATCTTCGACATTCTTCGATGAGAACGATTATACGTCAAATTGTCCAAAAGCAAATTTGCCTTCGAGAAGGTCCAATTCCTATGACACATGGTGAGCGCTCAAGGAGTTCACGTTGACCCCAAGAAAATCGAAGCCGTACGCACGTAGAAGACACCCAAGAACGTGAAGGAGTTGCAGCAGTTCCTAGGCTTCGCTAACTATTACAATAGGTTCTTGCCACAGTATGAGAAAATCACAACACCACTCACAAAACTGTTAAAGAAGAACACGCCCTATAAATGGGGACCAAAATATCAGGAAGCCGTTGTGAGATTACGACCCCATTACACCACTTTCCCCTTTTCATTTTTTCTTTCTATTTCATGCCTCTTTTTAACCTGATTCACTTGGTCTTTATCTCATCTCATTTGGTTTCCTATTCCTCATTTTCCATCAACCTTTGGTTGATCCTGTTATTATAATTACATCACCGACCCTGCTCGGGATCTACTGGCGCTCTATATCTAGTTTAATCTTGTCATAATCCCTTTAAGCCAATAGCCTCGCATGGCTACGCAGGGTGATTCTATTTCTAGAAGGGTCTATTCTCATTGGATAGGATAAACCTGGTTACCTGATGTCATCTGGAAGTATAAAAGCGCCTTGCACTCATGGATAGTGCAACATTAAGCAAACCTCATTCGATCTTGTGACACTTGGTAATTAGAGCCAAGGTTTCAGCTCAACGCTTAATCGCTGGGCCCCCAGGAGCACGCCGAGGATGGAGTCGAAACTTCATCTCCTGTAAGTACAATGGTCTTTCGTTTTAAGTCTCGACTAGCCTCACGCAGTAGCACCTGGGGTCTCCTTCGAAGGCGAGATGCCTTGCCGACCGTTCGATGGACTGCATCGATGGAGCCGATTTTTTTTCGGGGGGGGAAAAGGCCTCGACCTTGCGAACGCGTCAGTTCTGGCGGAACACTCCCAGCGACATTCCAAGAAGTTCGCAGTTTGCTACGACACTTGGAGTTGATCCGAAATGTGCGGAGCTGTGACCGATGACATCCATCCGATGGAGATTCGACGCTTCAGATCGACCGAGGCGAAAACGAAATTCTTCTGAGCGAATTCGAGTTTCAGCGCAAATGGGAACGGGACCTCGCAGGCTGCGAAATTCATCGGAGCGTCCGATCGTTCAACATTCAAAATCAACAACCAAGAATGGCTGCTGGAAACGAGTCGACCCGGACACCAAAAGCTGCTGAACGCGACTTAGGAATATCTTCAGATCGCTTGAAGTTTGGACCGTCAGATCGACTTCAGCTTCAACGGACGAGATGGAGCGCTAGTTCTACACAAATAGAGAATGACGCGAAGAACAGAATATCAGCCGCCTTCGACACCGTTGATATCACAGGACAACCAAATTCGGATTCCTCTATTTGGTCAAGAATTTGGCGCGCAAGTCATCTGCAGAGTCAGAAATTTGCCATATAATTACCTAGTTGGTAATAGCTGCTAGCAGAAAACTGACAAGAGAACGTGGATCGTCAGATTGGTGCGGAATCAACGGCACCAATGCAGCGTTAACAACACTATGAAAAATCATCATCATGGAGACATCATTCGTGAGTAGCGATTGCACAATCGACGCATCTTCTGACTAGTATCGATAACGATCTATTTATTTTGACGAAGTCTTCTTCGTTAAAAATGGATCGATATTAACACAGTGAGATCTTCACCCAAGAGAAACAATGGAGCTGCATGAAAACATGTTCTCCATCCACAAGACACTTCTTCACATAAATTGATCGACAAGCTATGGGATTGCAGAGAAGTAGCGGTTTTCTCTTGCAATATTCCCAACACCAAGTTTCTGCGAAGGAGCATATTCCGCACGCAATGACGACGCAGTGAACCCGTCTCATCAAGGCCAGCAAGACACTACTTCGTAACAGGTCTGACCGATTCGTCTTCATCAAGAATCTCAGCCATCCAAAGGGATTGATAGGAGCAGTCTCAACATCAACCTCACGAGGCGACACCCCAATCATGCGTTACGATTCCAGGTGTTAATGACCTGCGCGGATTTTTTTCCGTGCATGTTACGATGCTTGAAAGATTGAGGAGTAATTAACCACAAGATTGAGGCGATTCTATCACCAGTATGATCATAAAGACCGTGCCACGTACAACATTGATTTCCAGCTAGTGGGAAGGAGATACCACTATGCGAGGGAACAATATGGCAATACCATATACCCTCAAGAGCAGGAGATATTTGCTCTTATGAGGATGGGAGGACAACGGTACTCTATCGGTATACAAGTCCTCATGGCCTATGGATTTTCTTAAAGTCATAAAACCTGCGTCACAACTAATCCATCACCAACACCACCTCCACATAAGTAGATAGGCGTGGAATGGAGCGCCGATGCCACTCCAGATAATAGACTCCGCGTATCTCTAACAACACCCCTATTTGCCAAAATGGAGCAGACTTCAACATTGATGCTGAGTAGCTGAGACGTCTTCGACATCAACGCTACTTCAAGAACGGTGACAGAATTAGACAACACATGATGGCACCAGAAGACCTATCCCAATATGTGCGCCCAGACACCGATGCCTACCGATGGCCTCCGTGCTAAACTGGACATGCATAAGGTCATACTGGATTGGCTGTCAGCAATGCTCATTTGGAAATGGGAGAGGATTATTTGGGAATAGCCCTAACATTCCCAGATGCCCTAACCCATCACCGTGGGATATCTACGAAGCTGAGATTCCTTGCTTGAGCAGCCACCGAGGGAAACTACTTTGGCGCTGATTCTGGAAGTTCCCCGCGTTAATGGCACCAGCCCCTTGCATGGTTCTTAACACAAGGGATATGCTGAGCAGCACTTTGCATGTGGTGTTGTATTCAAGGCAGTGTGACTAGCAGACAGCGTGCTAATGAGAGCTTTCGACAACACTAAGGCATGGACCAGCATTCGACAGAAGCTGCATGTATCGGATACAACGCTGCTACAGAAGCAGGACTATGACACGACTGCAACACCGCCAACACTTAGTCATCTTCATACGTGGACGGGTTGCGAGTAACATCAGGATGTGCTACCCGAGACTCAACGCATGCTACAGTGTGCCAGTTAGAGCACCCACCGAAAGGACAGTACATCTACTCTTCCGCTACAACATCTCGATCATGATCAACGCCATCCGCGTACCATCTACAGACGCAACCCGCTCACACCACAGCACCCGACAAATCCATTTCATCACCGTTGTCCATCAGCTCTGACACCAGACACGCCACTTGGACATCCAACAGCAGCAGAAGCACTTGGCTGCTCATCATGACATTTATTCACACCGTAATATCGACATCAGCCGTCTTCCATCCAAGCTTTAACCTTGCTTCTGTCGGTCTATCCTCTTCGAAGCAACCGTCACTTCAGTCACCTTCCGCTTCCGCCTACCAGCTACTTGGAAGATCCTTCCATACCAACTTCTAAAACCCTATCAAGACCAAACACGCTCTACACCGAATGCCAACCACTGTCGCCGCCCGTGTTCGTCCACGATATGGGAGAACTACGTGCTCGGATGTCGTCGTCAGAATGGTACTCTAGAGCGTCTTCTTTGCTGGAAGGGTTCTGATCCTTCTGAGGCTGCGTCTATGAATTCGACATGGAAAACGCCCGTCGTCCTCTTCGCCACAACCTTGTCAAGCTGGGTGTTACTTCTACCACCCAGCTTTGAGGGGGGGAAATGTGAGAGTACGATCCCGTTACACCACTTTCCCATTTCCATATTTCCTTTCTATTTTATTCCTCTTTTTATCCTGATTAATTTGGTCTTTATCTCATCTTATTTGGTTTCCTATTCCTCATTTTCCATCATTCTTTGGTTTATCCAGTTATTATAATTATATCAGCGACCCAGCTCAGGATGTACTGGCGCGCTATGTCTAGCGTAATCTTGTTGTAATCCCTTAAAGCCAATAGCCTCGCGTGGCTATATGCAGGGGTCCACCAATCGGGCTTGGTAGAGCAGCGAAACCATGGATGCCCTTCTTCCTTGCAATATCAGCACTCTCCCCTCAAGCGTGGTTCACTGTTGTCATTGTTGGAGTGACCACCTCTTCCTCTTGCACCAGCGCCACCACGCCCCCGCTGGTTCCAAGTCCAGCGACCACCTTGGTTGTAGTAAGAGCGACCGCGATTGCCATGCCCTCGATCCCTCCATGTCCCTTGCATGGCATAGCCGCTGGTGCTGTTATCACCTCCGCGCAGTGTATAGCGACGAAAATCTTCTTCCAGAATCTTGGTGCAAATCCACTCCAATGTCCATTGACTTTGGTTTTGTGGCAAGCTGAGTCCGCTTATAAATTGCAGCCAAGACTCGGGCAGCAGGCTGAGCATCTTGAGACACTTAGTCTGCTCAGGGTACGTGATGCCTGCAATCGCCAATTTCGCGTAGAGTTCCCTCATCTTGTCCTGTGCGGGCTGCACAGGTTCATTCTCGCTCAACCGCAGCATGGACAGCTCCCAATCCAGTATGAGAGAAGCGGCAACCGATGTCGGAGCGTGCAGGTCCTTGAGCACTGCCCATGCCTTGGGCCCACAATCAGTTTCCGGTAGCAGATGCATGATGTGATGCCTCTGGTTCAGCTCCAAGCTTTGTGACAGTAGATAATACCCAGCAGATGAACGTTCATCCTAGTCCGCTTGCTCTGCCATTTCCTTTCACCTTGGCTCCGTTCCAATCATGAGCTTCAGGAGGCCAATTTGTCAAAAGTAGAGCTGCATCTTCCATGCCCAATCATCATAGCCATCTCCAGAGAACTTCTCAAT